AATAATAAAAGGAGAATTTTGCAAAGTCAGTGTCAAAATAGGAGTAAAACAGTAGTAGTTATAGTTGTAGCTATGGCTGCAACAATACTCAAAATATTGTGATCGTATCGTCAGAGTTCTCACAGTAATATTGAATTACAAGTCTTTTTGCTTAAATAGACAGAGGAAACTACATAGACCATGATCCTTTGCTCCATTTCACTGTAGGCTACAAGAAGAAATAACAGTTTTAAGCACTTTTAAATTTTAGTTCTTTGGATTAAATCTTGTCAAGGCATTTTTTTAGAGGAAAAAGTATCATTTTAACAGTTTTGTTTGCCTCCACAAAATGTCACAATACAGTAAATATCATACCATGACATGTATATCGTGAAAATATAATAGAGATTTGGATATTGTTACATCCCTAATTGTGAGCCTCCCATCCATATCGTAAGCTTTCCCACGATATCGCAATAAATATCCTACCGTGAGGTTCATACCGTGACGATATCGAATTGTGAGACTTAGATATCATTACACCCATAGTTGTAGCAGCAGTAGTATTAGTGGTAGTGTAAGTAGAAGTTGTAGTAGTATTGTATAGTGTAGTAGTTTCAACACTAGGGATATAACGATATCCAAAATTCACTGTACGATATTATCAATATGCATCTTACGGTACGATATTTATTGCGATATTTTGGAGAAGCTATTGTAGGTATTTTAAAAGCAATAAGTATCCTAACAAGACTCAGTGCACATCAATACTGTTATAATCCCAAGAATTAGTAAATAAGTAAAAAAAAAAAACATATTTCTTCATTTCTTCTTGTTTGCACTGAAATGAATCATGGGATATGGACTTCCCTACGTTTCTTAGCCGTTACTACTATAAAAAAAATACATTTAAGAAAATTTACTTGATTCGATATATTGTGACAGCCCATGATATTATTGAGAGACCTTTGACGATACAATATCACGATATTTCGGGTATTGTTACATCTCTATTCAACACCTTATAATAGTATATTTAACAACTTATTTGATGCGTGCCTTTATTTTATCATACACAACAAAATGACGAGGCTCACTGCTGCAGAGAGAGGAGTGACGCTTTTTCAATGCAAAGGGCGCCCCCATGAACACTTCTTATTTGGAAGGTGGCAGCTAGCGGATTGGATATGTCCAACTACAGGAGCACCATTTCACCAGAGCAATTACTTACTGGTAGTTTGTGAAATTTCCTTCACTGACAATGCCAATAAAACCTTCTGATTTCTGAGATCTACGATGCATTAAGTCAGTGGAAAAATGTGTTTTGGTCCAAGTCTGAATTAGAGCAGAAGGAAAAGGGAAAAAAAAACGCAAAAATAGGCATAGATCAGAGCTTCTTTAAAAACATAAAAAGCAGTATATGTTTTTGAATATTCATATGTGACACTCATCGCCACCTGTCTCCCTTAACCCACACTGCACTCACACCATCCATATGCGTTTGACACTCATCTTGTGCAAATGCATTCATAACATGTTCGGTAATTGGGTGGAAGTCGCACCTGTCTCGCAGATTTGGCTGTGCTATGAAGGATATAAATAAAACATCAGCTTATAACAAATGTGACAACGTGACGGCGTCCATCTTGACAGTTAAACATAAGCTCTGGGTTATTTGCGAGCGGAAAATTCCAGTTTTTTCCTCAGTAGCCAATATTGGAAAACAGGTTAGGGTTGGCTTCTTCTTGGGTGATGGCTAACCTCTCCGTTCAGAGCTGGGTAAATGAAAAGCACTGAGGCATTGCACAGTTAAACCAGCCAGGCTCGTACGTATTACACTGTCACTGTAGCTGTATAAACGCAACGCTCTGAGCACTTGGGGTTCTTTTTCAAATAACACCAGGTTCCACCACACAAAGAGACAGAGTTTCTTTGGTGTGAATTTTACTACAGAAGTCAAGAAAAATGCATTCGGGAATACAATGTACTTTCTTAGTAGTACTCAGCCAGAAGTAACCGAGTTTGATTGCAATTTTGACATCTGTAGGAGTAGTGGAAGTAGCTTAGGTAGTAACTAGAGAACTAAAACTATAAAATTACTTAACCGTGGAATTCTAAAGCTAACAGCCGTGCATTATTTTTCTATAAAGTAGTTCGGGCAACAATTGAATCACTGCTCTATATCGGTACGTTGTGAGGAATACCGGCTCGAACGTCCCCCTGGCTTGAAAGTCCCAGCTCGAGCGTCCCATTCTCTCGGCTTGAACGTCCCCCTCCTCCCTCAAGGCGCCGACTTCTCTTGCTCGGGAGAGGGGGACATTCTCGCCGGCCTTTAGTCAGCTGTGTCACACACTGTGATGTATTGAGTTAGAAAATCAGCTTCTATATCATAATAAAATGAAATGTGAATGAAGCCAGACCAAATGTCGGGCCTTGTTTATGTCATTTTACTGATCTTCCTGAAGCTGCACACATTTTTCCAGTATGTAATATCAATATAATCACCATTTGCTCATAAAAATTCATTATGAAATCATATTTTAATTAATTTTTCTTGTCCCCCATGTCCTATAACTGTTGATTTGGGAAGAAATATTAATTATTTCCTTACCTGCTTGCCATGAACTTAATTTGTAAGCAGCACAACACAAGAAACTTAGAAAGCTACAGAATTTGTTCAAAAATAATTCAGAATAACTTATATAAATAGTTGTGGCACAGTTGAGACCACATTATTTTTGCACTTTTTTTTGTATGCATGAACAAATATGTTGAGATACATTGTAAGTTTGTTTTTTTCATATGTATATAGATCAACTAACTTAGTTTCATGAAGGGTACAATTCAGGGGGACTTTCCAGCTGGTTCCCGTTGTGGGCATCGCCATCGCAATAAACAAATGAAGTACTGTTAGGAGGGACGAGCTTCAACTAAAACAGAAACAACTAAGTTAAGCTTTGAACATCCATGGACAGCCAAAAGGTGAACCTATTTTCAGTTTGTGTCACCATAATATAAGCGGATTAAACAACAAGAAGCAGTGCGTTATCCTTTCCTTAACTAAACCATTACTTATTTTTCCTTCCTCTGCCTTTCACAAACCCACACCACAGCTTTTTTACTTCCAGATATCATATTTGTGAAACTAATAAACATTCATAGCTTTGGGCAACCTTTTATATGCTCCATAACATAGGCAGCACCCAGATCCATCCCTCTCTGCACAGTCAGCATCATAAATAATAACTTCAATATGGGATTTGCATGCCCCCAAAAGTGCCAAGCATTTTTGGGGGCATGCTAACTAAGACTGATCCTCCATAGAGCTTCTGCATCTGCCACCCACATTCTATTCCAGACCATCTTCCCACATCACCGAATGACACAGGTGATTTCATTGCAACTCATACATTTTCTTTACCACATAGGCATCCTCAAAATAGCACTGAATCGGATTATATTTTTGCTTTGATGTTGTAATGCGTCTCTAATGTTTCAACAAGGGAGTATAGGGTAAGGTGGTACAGTGTATTCTGCACTGTATGGGTTTTTTAGTGTGTTACTTAATCCATAAAACCATGTTCTTGCACTTGGCACAGAGGACATGACATCATTTCACAACACCTGAACCGTCCTGTGTGATTCAGGATTATGTAAGAGGCAGTAAAAAACAAATCTGACCAAACTAGCTCCAATCTTTACATGTAAAATCTTGTCAAGAAGATGTACACCACTGAAATGATCATGTCCCATGTGGAGTCAGTAGTGAAGGTGAAGATGTAATAACCAAACCTTATTGGAATCTAAATGAACCCAGTGACTGCATCTGGTAGGGCATCTGTTGTAAAACTTGCCTTATTCATTGTATATAATTAGAGCATAGTGTGAGATTGAATGTGCAGCAACCTTACAACTCAAGGAAATTCACGCAATCTTTACTTTGACATCATACAACGTGCAACTTAAAGGGGCACTATGTAACTTTCTGATTGGGGGTCCGTCACCTGCTTGTTTCTATGGATATGTCACTGCTCTGCTTTGCTTTCCTTTATATTTATTCTATTACAGGTGATTTTATAGCTCAAAAAACCTAGAAAAACAGCCATTCTGACTTTGAGGGGTTTGCCTCTCCATAGATCTAACTCGTAACTTGGTCCGGTTTGGTCTCCGTGAAGATAGAAAGGTTTAATACCAGACAAAGCAATAACATCGCCACAGAGAAAAGCATTTGACGGACCCTCCACTAGAAAAGTTACACAATGCACCTTTAACGATTACCAACATAAATTCAGAAGAGCTGATATCAAAGACTAATACATGCTTAATATTCATTCATATCACCCTGGCTGCCACTGCTAATCCTCTGGGCCAAAGCAGGGTTCTCCACTGGGTTCCTATCACCATCACCACCCCCCTGTCCCACCTCACCCTCCCTCCCTCCTCCCTCTCTCCCTCTCTCTTCTTCCTCCCTCCTCCTCCTCCTCCCTCTGGTGGTGCTGTCAGGCTGCCCCATCCAGGAACTGGGAGAGAAAAAAAAAGCCATCTGGTGTTTGTTTGGGACAGGCAGGAGGATGCACTGTTTGGAACTGTGAGTAATCAACAATGGTGCTCACGATTAGGTGTCCAAACTTGAGCCGCCGCAGTGACTTATGATGACTTAATTTGGGGGTAGGAGCGAGATGACTTCACGTAAGGGGGTGTGCGTGAGGTGCCCCAGGTGTGCCAGTTATGACGCTACAGTATTGTGTAGTTTCACAATGGCAGACACGACTAGTCTGTCTATAACCTCAACATTGTGTTAATCTGTGACTCAAGTCCAAATATGACATTAACCTATATTCACCGTGCGCACAGCTGTTCCGTGGCATCTGCTATAGGCTATCACACTAAAGATTATCAATGTAACCAGCTTGCTTTTCGGTCTACCTTACCACCGCTACTTGGTTCAACTAGTCTCATACAGGTGCGCGCAAGAACCCACCAGTAAATCAAAGGTTTTGCTCTCGCTTGAGGCTACTTACCAAGCAGGGCACAGGCGAGGAGAAGCCGGAGCGCACTGGTTGCCATTGCCCCACAGATCTATGACTTGTAGTATTTCCTTGTGGATGGCGAAGACGAGAATGCGATGTCTTTCTCTACAGTCTGTCAGTCAAATCTTCTGTGCTCGCTCCTGTGGTTACCCGCTTATCCTGAAAGGAGGAAGAAGAATCCCAAGCGACAAAAGGAGTCAAAGCTAAGGGGGTTCGTGTTTGAAAGTCAAATGAGGTTTTCACCGCCACTGTCCGACTCTTGCCTTCGTGCGTCCTGCTGCGAATGGAAAAGGGTAAAAAGCTCCACTGTGTGCGTCCGTTCCTCTCGCGTTCGCCCTCACCTATCTCCTCTTTTATCACTGACGACGTGTGCGTACGGATGTATGGAAGCCGGGCGTCTAGGCGACCCAGCCCACTCCTCCCCGTTTACTACGCATCTGAGACTGCGGAGGCGATTCTCTCAGGCAGCCTCCAGAACAGAACGAACAGCGCCAAAGTCTGTGATGGTTAGCGCCTCTAACAAGACTTCAGAGGGAGCAGATCTTGATGTCAGCCCGTAATAAGCCGCCCTCCTGCCTCCACTGATGAGAGAGCAAATCAGACTAGTCCACAGCGGCTCGTTCTGTCTCTCTCTCCACGGCAAATCCCAGAGACTATCATCAATCTCCCACTATCGCTCCGCAGAAAGCCCAATGGGCGGGCGCTCCAGATAAAGCACACACGGGCTTTGTGCGCTCACAATAAATCTGATTAATCAATGAATACGACCGAGCGGAACACCGTGGACCACTCTGCCTAACGTAGCACAATCACCTGAGTGCGCACAAACGGAGCTCACCTGCCCCGTGCAAGCGCGCCGAGTCAAAAGTCCCTGTAGTTGTAATGGGACACAGTGCGCCGCGTTTCTCTGTTCCAAGGTTACTCTCCTGCTTCCTGCTTGGCTTGGCACTTTGTTTGGCCGGGCAGTTTGAAAACTTAGCAGCGTGTTGCCTGCACCCTCCCCCTTTACAAAGCCACGCCCCGTTCGCGTGGGACTTCAGGGAGACGCCAAAATCATATGCAAGTCTGTCCACTGGATTTCCAGGCCACTTCTTTTAGAATATCATGAATAGGTTTAACCAAGTGGAGGATAATTAAGGCTCAAAAGTAGACATTTTCTCACTCTTTTTTTGTTTAGGGTATGCGTACAAAGTACAATACACTGACCGATTCACTTCAAACGCTCAAAGCTTGCTCGAGCTCTCAAACATGCAACAGCAAAACTCACGTGTGTTAATTTGGTCAGATAATTATGGCCCTAAAGCCTAATTAATATTTTAAACTGAAATAATGCTGACTTGTAAACCTGTAAGACTGAGCATTTAACCTCCAAAACCACACACTATCTTTTCTACTGATAAGAAAAAATCTAGTTCATACTTGACAAGTCTAAACTGAGAAACTGAGAAACTGTGTCTTTTAAAAACCTTGAGAAAGCTTTAGTCCAAAAATCGAAAAGTATTATTAGCAAGTTTGTTTATAAAGTTTCAAACTTTAATTAGAGTAGTGCAAAATTAGGTCTCAAACAAAGCATTATCTACTAATTATTTCGAGAAAGTGAATGTTTGAAATGAAAAAGGAACCACTGTAAGGCTGATTGTTGTTGTTGTTGTTGTTGTTGTTTTCATCGGCTCTGACCACTGTTTTGTCCTTGTACATTAACACCTCTTTACTTATAAAATAAAGATCATACACTTTTCATACTTTTCTGAACTTTTGACAGTTGTAAGTTGTTGAATACCTGAGGAGTCCATCCATCTTTGTAAGGTACTGTCAGAACGTGTGGTTTTGGATGGTCACACAAAGTGAAGGAGGTTTGAACAAGTGCACCGTGGTCCAAAGGAGATGTGTTGAATATGAGAGCAGTTGCCTGAAGCGGTGATAAACCTTTCAGTTACAGGATCTCCCAAAGGTGCACAGGGTGATACTGAGGTGGCCGTGAATCACCCAAATGTCATACGTTATTCTCAACAAGTGAAACATGTTTATTAATACAATAGCCTTTGTATTTATGGTGTCGTCATGCAGTGATGACAAAAGTCACCTTCTCATGCACAGCATTCATCTAGCAGCAGTGGTCTAGACAGAGCCCCCTCCATCACATTCACACACGCACACACATACACACATTCACGCACACATGTGCACGCACACATACACACACACACACACGCACACACACGCACACACACGCACAGCCTGATTCTCACACCCCACTCCTGCAAACAGAAGACTGGCAATCACAGTAATGAGCTGCCAGTCTGCTTAGGAGCGCCTTCATGAAAGAGAAAACACCAGCTCCTCAACACGTACAACCCGAGCTGAGAAACTTGCACATTTGGATTTTTGGGCCTAAGAATAGTTTAAAGGCAAGATGTGACAGAAAGTATAAATCTTTGCTTTGTGAGGAGTGTGATGTCGTATATTGGAAAGATATACAAAGATACAAATCTAAAAGAGACATATAGAATCCACTTTGTCAAATGAAAACAGTTACAGCCATGTATTCATGCTCATCTTTCACAAGGTTAAATTAGACACACTCAAGGTACACCCAAGTCTTACAGGTTCTGATTGCTGGAATCAAACTAACAACCTCCTTGTTAAAGTGCCAGACTGTCCATCATGGCCACCATGCACCTCTGTACACGGTAGCACTGAGACATCAGCATGCTGGCTCAGTAGCACTAAGATAAAATGACAGCCCCCTGCTTGCTTCCATCGGCGCCTCTGTAAAAGCATGTCTTGCATTCATATGTTCATATATTAAACATGTTAAACAAAATATGAGATGGTCTATGCTAATGTATGTCATGTTAACATTAATATTTTATTATAGATTTTACCATTTACAGGCCAGATGTATCGTAACATTCCTTGTTCAGGCATTAATACGACTTGAGTTGATGTATATAGTTATTTCATGTATTGGACATTTTGATGTTCAAAATGACATTTGTGCCTCAGTATTCAGTCTAGAGTTCAGGTTTCACATCTGGTCTTAAATGTTATTCAGGCCCATCTGACCCTCTGCACCTATGTCATACAGAAGAAGTCATTAGATCAAATTTGATTTAGGAATCAATAATGGTTTTACTGTAGGGTTTATTTGCTCACAGAACAATAAGTTATTGCCAGATGGCTCCTGCTCTTGAATGGTGAGTGGTTGAAACTGACTGTCTATTAAATCATTCTTTTATGTTAACAGACTATGGGGCCTTCATTACACACCGCACATTGTTTACATTTTCAGTATGTGAGCTGGCACTGAGTCGTAAAAGCACTCAAGACACAAATAGTCACAATGTAGAATTTCAAGGACAAAACTGAATAAAACTAAAAGAGCGTCAAGTATCAGCCACAAGAAGATTAGATCAAGTAACCCAAAAGTACACGAGTGGTCTTTTCTGGAGCAAAGTTCACTGCACTTACATCTGTTTGTATTATTTTTGCTATATTTGGGACTGAAATGAAAACCAGGCCAACCTAAGCTTAGGCCACTGTGATTTTTATGAGATCTGCAAATCATTAGAGTAGGAGGCTATGTTAGACTTTTATTAACATTTTCCAGAGACCCAAAACTTCAGCTTGTACTTTTTGAGTGACACAAGCCTCAACCGATGACACTTTTGACATGCAGCATTATGTAATAGATAACCAGATGTCCTGTCAATCATTATTTCATCTTTGCAGTGTTTCTCTTTACGACCTCTTGTACATAGCTGAGTTGTATTTGCATTACTATAGTTCTATAATATATTTTCACTTGTACATATACTGTACATTTATATAACTATGGCACACTTTTTGATACAGCGTCTTTCCACCTTCAAGGCACTCAAAGCACTTTACATCAAGAAACGTCTCACCCATTCACACACACACTCATAAACCAGTGTATGCAAGGTCGGTTAGGGGTCTTGCCCAAGGACACAATGACAACATTCATCTGTGGGAGCTGGAATCGCACCGGTCAACCATTGATGTTTATTTCGAGAGCGGGATTCAAACTAGCCTGATTCATCAGACGTTTTTACTTTGTTTCACTTCGTATAAACCGTCTAACCTCGCAGCCTTAGATTTCGTTCGCTCGACAGTAGGCGGGTACTTTTTATCATTTAACCAATCACTGCTATTTGGTCGTGAGGTATGTAATGCAGCGCTAACGGGGCTAACTGGTATATTAAGCTTTTCCCAAATCCCATAGAAAGAAGGGCAATAACGTCTTTCCCCTTGATAAAATTCACCAAACATTCTCTTTGTTCCGGCTTTAAATCCTCGATCTCGGGAATCGCTGACAACACTGAATATATCACTCTTCACTGACTGGCTGGTGCCTGAACTTGCTCTTCCAGGGTTTTTGCGAACTGTCTATTGTATTTTGACCTGACCTAGTTGCTGGAGAGAAATTAAATTGAGCGGAGGCACTAGGTAGCACCAGCCTGGCTAGATTCGAACCGTCGATCTTCAGATCAGTGGACAAATGCTCTACCAACTCAGCTACTTTCGCCCATTATCCCTTCTTTGACTCCAGCCTATTGCTATTTCTGCTTCTTAGAATTTGTTATTGTCATTTATATTTTTGCTCTTTGTTACTATAATATATTGTGATGTGTGAGTTGTTATGTCCAAATACTTTCCTTTGTAGATCAATAAAGTTTGTCTAAGTCGAAATCTAAGTCATGTAATGTATAAGAAAAGTTGCCTCGCACAGTTCCACGAGCACAGTGGACACGTTGTGGACTAGGTAGGCCATGTGCTCTACACCTGGTCTACATACTGCTCTTCTCCTAATTTTAGCCCCGGTCTCCTCAGACTGCTACAGCTCGGCCTTGTGATGACACACTTAGCGCGAGCAGCCACTTCAGCGCAACTTCACAATTCAGATCCAAACACATTTAGGACACGATCACCTCTGAACCAACTCACGCTATCTCCTCCCTAACGCCGCACTACATCCACGCCGAGATGGTTCTGAGATAAAACGCTTCAAAGGAATGTTTGCAAGAATCGCAGTTGCTTGGGATCATAATTGGTCTCCATGGAAACAGGAGACTGCATTGTATGTGCACTTGGAACATGGTCCATCACCTAGAAATAGTTGACATCCTCATTACCACTACCCCTCATCAAACCTGCACTTTATGAGAGCAGAATGGGCTTACTTTATGTGGATAGAGCTTAATATTTCAGCAGCCTGAGAGCACTGTCTGTGTGTCTTTGTGTGTGTGTGTGTGTGGGGTGTGTGTGTCTATGGGGTCGGCCATGTTACTTGGTGGCGTAGCCCAGAGTCAGGCTGAGGTTTGTTCGTTTATTTCATCATTCACACATTTTCATACTATGTCCCACAAGTATATGAATGATTTAGTGGATTTTCCTCTGTGCATTTTTCTAGAGTGAGGGTAAAAAGTGAGAAAAGTTATAAGCCCACGAATGTCACACATAAGCAAGCAATAAGAAAGTAATGTCATTTGGAGTAACATCTGAATTTGTATTATATGAAGTAATTAGAGAATTTATCTATATATTTGTCTGTACACTTTCATATGTTTTTTGTTTTGTTTTTGTTTTTTAAAACCTTTATTTAACCAGGAATGTCCCACTGAGATTTGAAGATCTCTTTTTCAAGGCAGTTCTGGCCAAGAGGCATCAACAACACAGCCCACAGACAACATTTCATATAAGTCAGACGGTTATGAAACGAGCAACACAGAAGTTATTTATAAAATGGAAACCACAATAGGGTTGTCTAAAGCATCGAAAATCAGAAACAAACTGATCCAAAAAACTAGTACCAAACTTATTTGAAGAATCAATACTAAAAAAAGTCACATTCACAGAAATTAGCCTCTCCTGAATAGCTTTAGCAGGATCTTTAGTTAT